CAAATAACCACAATGGAGGGGAAAAAGGATGCGTATATTACTTTCAATGAGGCAACATATACTGTTCTGCAAATTAAAATTCTTGACAGATAATCTTTACCATGCTCAGACCTAATGTAAAATATGTAATGACACACCACGCATTTCTTGATACAAATATCATGAATAAATCTAAATAAGAAGTAGAGCAGGTTAGTGATATGACAGGCATGACTGACAAAATGAACACTGGGGTTTGAAATCCGTTATTAGCATATGGACAAGAATACAATTTCAAACAAGAATGCATAAAAGTCACTTACCTTTACGGTGAGGTGTGTCACAAAATCTCCATTACATGCTTGAACATTAGACACTCCGTGTGGGTGTTGTTGAAGGATATAGATAATGGACAGAAAGTGACCCAGAGAGGTGGAATTTTAGGCACTGAAGGAGTTATGGCAAGCAACATTTTATTTTAGATACAACTGTGTTGGATGCTAAGGACCTTGGTAGAGATATAACCCAAAAGACAGGTAAGACATGTCTCAAGATTTTTGCAGATACTTTTTTTCAAATCTGGGTTAATCTGGGTAAAGATTTGACATCACAGCATTCAGGACAGGCCCATATTAGCTCTGTCTTCCTCTCACAGACAGCAAAGAGTTTACATACTGATGGTGCCCGTTGTCATCTTGTTAACTGCTCATCTTCCCTCTGAGAACCGAGTGGTGCCCATCATCATCTTGTTAACTGCTCATCTTCCCTCTGAGTCTCGGGTGGCGCCCATCGTCATCTTGTTAACTGCTCATCTTCCTTCTGAGTCTCGAGTGGTGCCCATTGTCATCTTGTTAACTGCTTATCTTCCCTCGGAGTCTCAAGTGGTGCCCATTGTCATCTTGTTAACTGCTCATCTTCCCTCGGAGTCTCGAGTGGTGCCCATCGTCATCTTGTTAACTGCTCATCTTCCCTCGGAGTCTCGAGTGGTGCCCATCGTCATCTTGTTAACTGCTCATCTTCCCTCTGAGTCTCGAGTGGTGCCCATTGTCATCTTGTTATCTGCTCATCTTCCCTCGGAGTCTCGAGTGGTGCCCATCGTCATCTTGTTAACTGCTCATCTTCCCTCTGAGTCTCGAGTGGTGCCCATTGTCATCTTGTTAACTGCTCATCTTCCCTCAGAGTCTCGAGTGGTGCCCATCGTCATCTTGTTAACTGCTCATCTTCCCTCGGAGTCTCGAGTGGTGCCCATTGTCATCTTGTTAACTGCTCATCTTCCCTCGGAGTCTCGAGTGGTGCCCATCGTCATCTTGTTAACTGCTCATCTTCCCTCTGAGTCTCGAGTGGTGCCCATTGTCATCTTGTTAACTGCTTATCTTCCCTCTGAGTCTCGAGTGGTGCCCAACATATTCTATTTTCCATCTTCACGATTAGTGTGTGTGTGGGTGGGGGTGAGGTGGGTGGGGTATCCAGAACCCTTTGGCTCTGTACTATGGATATCACAACCCTTAGGCCTTGATTCCATGATAGATACCGTAAATCTGGGAGGAATGTGACCTCTTTGCCTACGCCCGGGCGTGAACCCGGACCACAAGGAGTTCGTCACCCGGTCGCCACGCAGTGCGGTTTAGCCAGCTGCCCTAATATATGATTTGTTTAAAGCATTAGTTTAAAGCTAGCACCCTATCCATTTCCCTTGAAAAATCTAAGCATATTTATAGTTCCTTGACAACACTCAGGTTAACAGATGATCTGTATTTGATCTAGGGCATGCTAGTTGCCCGGTATGCTGTGATGTTGTGCAGTCTCAAAGTGTCCATGATGTCTTAAATCCATCTTCTTCTTGCTCATCCCTCTACCTCCTGGTGTTTCCACTTTCATGTTGTACACTCTCATTGCTGCCACAGTTGGATTCATTCCAATTAAATGGCTAAATGACTTCTGTCTTTGTTTTTCAATGAATTTGTCAGTGTTGTTCTAATTGTTTTGTAATACATGTATTTCTCACTCAGTCTTTACACACACACACACACACACATATATATATATATATATATATATATATATATATATATATATATATATATATATATATATATATATATATATATATATATATATATATATATATATATATATATATATATATATATATATTTTTTTTTTTTTTTTTTGGTAATGGTCCTTCTCACACATCTCATTTAACAGATGGTTCATTTTCTTTCATGTTCCTTAGTTAGTGTCCAGTTGATAGATTAAGGTTGGTATGAAGACATTTACAGTTTGTCATTTTGCCTCTGTTGGGACAGCCGGGTATTCATTTGATGGATTTTCTGCTTTTTTAAACTGCTTCTAGAGCATTTAGTGATAAACATTTAAACCAGATGCTAGTTTGCTGGTGCAGTTTTGTTCTTTAATAAACATACTTCCCACCCTAAAAAGCATGTCATAGAAGGTGACTATTTAGGGGTCTACTGAATTTGGATGTGTTGTGCTAAAATGCACAGATATCACAGCCTATCTGTAAACCACAACACATGGACCCAGCTGCCTGTTAATGAGTAAATGCAGAAGAAAAAGGATGATGATGATGTCTTAATACTATGACAAAAGGCTCTCAAGGGTCTTCTTATGTTGTCAACTTCAAACCATCTTTCCATACAAATTTCCAGTTTTCACACAATCCAGTCTTTCTCATCTAATAAGGTGGGGGGAAAAAACCCACACACTAAAAAGTTATGTAAACATTATTTTTTCCCACCACAAAACTAAATTTGAAAATTATGTTCTTATTATTTTAGTGTGTTGTGTTCAACTGCTCTGATGGTCTGGATTACAAAGCAATGGGCAAGTTCTTTAAGGGCCTTGCTCAGTCTGGAGCCTGGGCCTGTTTTGATGAGTTTAATAGAATAGAGCTGGAGGTATGCTTAAATATATTTCTATATTTATTTTCTTTAGGTTAGCATAACTTTTCCTACTTGCTCCTATGCAGATTATGTGGAACGTTTATCACAAATACCAAATTTCAAGCTGGTATTGAAAAGCTAAAACAGATTTGCAAAATGACATTTTAACACAAGTAGAAAAGATAAGAAACTACATCTAACTTCTCTATGGTATTCTTTATAGTGTAAGCAGTAGAACAAAAGAAAGAAAGACAAAAGAATTGAAAAGCTAAGTGGCTGAGTGGTTAGGAAAAGTGGGCACTCATTTGAGAGACCGAGATTTGAGTCTACTGTAAGATGTTTTGTCTACCATCAGCAAAAGTAAAAATCCTAACCTGCATACTCTGTGACAGCTTAGCCCTGTGACCATAAATCCTCAGTCTCAAGACACCCTCCACCCCCCACCCCTTCCATACCCCAATCTACCCCACCTTCAGAATGGTTATTACAGGCAGTAAAGATATTTAAGTTTCTCATTTAAACAGGCCAGCGGGTGATGAATGTATGCATGACAAGCCACATGTGGTCAGCTTCCACTTGGAGCAAGTGAACAGAACAGAAACACAAGTCGGTCATGATTGTCCGGAAAGAAGCTGAACAGTAGGGTCTGGAAAGAATGAAGCAGCAGGAAGTGACCAGGGTATTATGCCAACACTTAAAGGAAAGGCAATACTGACATATAATCAGACAGCAACTAGTACCACTGGAACTCTGTGTTGGCTGCTGAAGATTAGGATTTAGCTTTTATGTAAATGTTCTGAGTGCTGGGATGTCGAGTCTTAACTCTGCTCAGCTTCACATAAGATACCACATACTTGTCATTAAATATTGCCTGTCCATAAAAAATATGGCTTCTATAAATTACATTAACCTTGCAGGTGTTGTCGGTGATAGCCCAACAGGTTCAGACAATTCAGCGTGCTATCATAGATAAAGCAACAACATTTGTGTTTGAGGGCTCAGAAATCTCTCTAGATCCCACCTGCACCATTTTCATCACCATGAATCCTGGCTATGCAGGCAGGTCTGAACTGCCAGATAATTTAAAGGTACCTGTTAAAAATTCAAATTAAAATGTAAATTGTTCTTTAGTTCAGATACTTTTTTCACACATTTCAGTGAGGACTAAATATTCTTTAGAAGAGGTGGATGTACTTAGTAACTCATAGCTTCACTATTTGCATTACAGTTAGGGAACAAGAGCAGACTTATGCCATCTTTAAATAATGATCCTGAACAATGCAACCTGGTCTTGACAGGAGACCTGGCAAACTTGGTCTCATTATTTGCATTGCTAGCATTTGTGTCAAATGAAATATAAAAATATCATAACTTTGCTGCAAGCACAATATGTAACTAACTTTCTGCTAACAGTGAGTTTCTATAAGGCATATTTAATTTATTCTTATCCATACAATACTTAATTTAGATTAGGAATCTCACAGTCATTAGGCAAAAAATATAGGGCTTTTGAGTTAAAATGGCTATTGAGATTCTTAGAATGTCATTGGCAAAGAAGAAAAGAAATACTGACATTCTAAAAGATCTGAACATCAAGGAAGAATGGTCAGTAAACAGGATCTTGTCTCAGAACTGAAATATTTTAGCCATATCAAGCACCATGGCGGACTAGAAAAAATAATAGCAGAAGACATGGTGTCAGGAAGGAGGGGCAGAGGCTGACTAGTTTAAAGATGGGCACAGGTTATAAGTTACACCTTGGGTAGGAAAGGGCATGAGATAATAAAGCTTCTGCGAGACTGAGTTTCTTTCAGGCAAACCATGATGAGAATGGCATTCTGCAAAGGGCTTGCTATATGATCGCATATATTTTCAGTTATCTTGATAGTTTATTCAAGCTAGATTTTTTTACTTGATTCTTGTAATTAAAGTGCTGCTTAGGTGTCTGGATTTTCAGTAATAATTGTAATTTTCTCATCTCCATGTTTGCTTAGATTTTATGTTTTCTAATGCATTTATTGCTGCTGTTGTGTTGACTTTAGTCTTTCCATAATGATACTGAATGTATTGAGCATTTTGTAATTTGTTTCCCAGCAGTTATTATTTTTCTTTGTTTAGGTTCTGTTTAGAACTGTGGCCATGATGGTACCAGATTATGCGATGATAGCAGAAATATCCCTGTATGCCAGTGGTTTTGTTAGTTCTCGGAGCCTGGCAACAAAAATTGTTGCTACATACAGACTGTGCTCTGAGCAGGTAGGGGTTAACTGTTTCTCAGAAAGAAAGAAATTTCAAAGTTATTGCAGATGTTAAATGTTAATGTTATATGTTAAATGTAAATGTTATATTATAGAAACATAGCAAGCAAATCTATTAGTATCTCATTTACTTACATCTGTGTTTCTCTCTCAAGTTCAGCTTTAGCTTGCAAAAAAAAAAAGTTTCAAATCAGGTAAATAATTGTGAAAATGAGTTCATTAGGAACAGTTTTAAATACCTCTATGTTTACATAGGAAAATGCATCATGGATATAACAGAATAGAACAACCATCCATGTGTTATTGGTGTTGAAAGAGTAGATAATAGGGCTGGTATTACCAATACATTATGAAAGCTTCTGTAGTAAAGTAATTTTTAAGATCACTGAGGGTGTTGATGGAGCTTTGTAGGTTTGTGCTTTTCACAACACTCTTTTGGATGATCATCCACTCTGCAGAGAGGCTAAGCCATTTGGAATAAAACAATGGGATGTGTTGGGCCAAAATGTGCAAATATCACAGCCTATCTGTTAACCACAACACAGTGTGCCAGCCACTCTGTTAAGGGTGAACACAGAACAAGAAGAAATAAAATCTATCAGCTTTGATCCTGGAGAATATTATCTTTCTGACAGTTCTGTTATACATTGTAAAAATGGGACAATTTCTTGACTTTGTGGTTTTTTAAATTTTTTTTATTGACTGAGTGGACTGATGTAGCCACTAAACTATAATACTTATTTGGTTTCTGGCTTAATTGCGTCTGGCATGTGTATATGTGTGTGTGTGTGTGTGTGTGTGTGTGTGTGTGTGTGTGTGCAGAAGGGAAGATTAGACAAAGTTCATCATGTAGTTCTAGATCAATGATTCCCAACTAGTGGTCTGTGGAACAAATTTAAGAGGTTTGAAATATTTTTTTTTTTAAAATTAAATATAAAAAAAAAAAAAGCTAAAAAAAAACACACTATAATCAATGCTTTTTTTTTTTTTTTGGCCAATTCAAATAAAGATAGGACTTTTTTTTCATACAGGGCTGCTTCTGGTATGCAAATTATTTAGTTTCCTCCACCCCCAAAATGTACACACATGCATATGCATACACATAGACACACACACTTCCATGCATCAGCGGACAGACCAACAAGATATTCCAGGCCAGGTTAGACTTTCAGGCACCTACACCAAAATCCTGGCCATGAATTAACTAGCAGAAGGAGTAATGAGAATGATAATTATGATTTCATCTTTAATTGATGACTGGGACAGTCTGAAAGTTGTGATGGAAAAACAGCCTTCCTATCTCTTGCCTGAACAGAAAAAAAAAGTGCCCTTTGGAATAACTTACAGGAAGGAGCAGTCTCCTGTCTGTTTTGTTGTAAATTCTTATGAGAAAGTAATTATTTAGAAGTAAACTACATTAGTCATAATGAATAATAATTCATTAGACCTTTATTTTAAAAATAGAGTGTCTCATTTTATGGCCAGAATACCTCAGCTTTCAAAACAAGATGCTGTTTATGAGCCGATTCTCCTCAATGCTCAGATCATTTAGAATATCAGTGTTTCTCTTCTTCTTGGCCTATGGTATTCTAAGAATGTTTCTATGGAATCTCTTTTTTTTTTCTTCAATGATTAAGAGTCAAATTGTAATTCTATTTCACCTATTTTATGTGTGGAATTTCAGCTATCCTCCCAGCATCATTATGACTATGGCATGAGAGCGGTGAAGTCAGTGCTGACTGCAGCAGGAAACCTGAAACTGAAATATCCAGATCTCAATGAGGATGTGCTTGTACTGAGGTCTATCAATGATGTCAATTTACCAAAGGTTGGTGCTCAGTGAATACCAGTTCCCCTGCTTTTAATGATAAACTCTTTCAGTCCGCAAGAACACATCATGCATTTATAGGTTGCTAAGTAGAACTCCAATGAATGGAAGATGCACAGATTAAAAATGTCTCTCTTTCCCATCCCTTGGGTCTCTGATGCCTAACCCCCTGTGATTAAAAGAGCTAAGTTGTGAATCACTCACAGATGGGTTTGAATCTCACAGAAAGGTTTGAATCACTCACAGATAGGTATGAATCACTCACTGCTAACTGTGAATCTCTCACTGGAATATATGAATCATTCACTGGTAACTGTGATTCTCTCACTGGAATATATAAATCATTCACTGGTAACTGTGAATCTCTCACTGGAATATATGAATCATTCATTGGTAACTGAATCTCTCGCTGGAATAAATGAATCTTTGACTGGTAACTGTGAATCTCTCACTGGAATATATGAATCATTTACTGCTAACTGTGAATCTCTCACTGAAATATATGAATCATTCATTGGTAACTGAATCTCTCAATGGAATATACAAATCATTGACTGGTAACTGTGAATCTCTCACTGGAATATACAAATCATTGACTGGTAAATGTGAATCTCTCACTGGAATATACAAATCATTGACTGGTAACTGTGAATCTCTCACTGGAATATATGAATCATTTACTGGAAACATGAAGCGCTCAGCAAAAGTAGTTGTATGCTCAGACTGCAATAAACCAATGAGCTGTGGTCATACAGAATGCTCGAGCACCAACATTGTGAACAGCAATTACAGGATTAGAGGTTTGCTTTCCTGCTGACAGCATAGGCATAAAATATGTCTGCTGGCTAATTTTCAGGAATCATTGGTAATATCTACTGCCTAGCTGACCAGCATAGATGAACATGCTTATCTTCATCTCCAGCATCATGAATCAATTCAAATGTTAGCTTTTTGAGTCCCAAGGAACACATCATACGTTCATGGCTTTCTACCTAGAAGCCCAATGAACGCATGATGCACCGATTTTATGACTTTGTTTACTACTCCCTGGGTCTGTGATGCTAAACCCCCTGGGACTCAAAGAGTTAACTTTCAAAGCCACGACAAAAGATTTTGAAGAATCTTCTCTTGTTGCCTGTCTTCACTTTTGCTCTTTCCATAAATCATTCTATTCTTGTCTCTACAAATTATTGTTTTTCTTTTTGTATATGGCAAAATACTTTAACACCTTTTTCTAAGGTTTGTAACAAATTTTCTTCATCTCTTATCCTCTTTTAATAGTTACAATCATCCTAGAGGTAGGATCGACATCTTCCTTCGAAGTCAGAGTACATCTGCCTGAGAAGCAGGCTATAACACATTGCACACAAATAAGCCAGTAAAATGAATATACATGCAAAACTCAGGTCTTGATACAAAGCCCCAGATTCTGGCACACAGCCAAAGTCCAAATGGAAGAGCAACCAGAACTTTCCACCTTTACAACTGGTGAATGCTAACAAACAATTCTTTGTTAAAAAGAAATGTAAATTACTGATTTTGCTAATCAAATAATTTTCAATGTTCTTCTGTAAAACTACATCTCTGAAGGCTCAAATGATAATTTTACCTATTTACTGTCTCACTGGAGAACCATTAAAGACGTGGAATAAAAGTTAAAGGCATTTTAAAACAAATCCCTCAAGAAATTAAAGAACATTAACTCTTTCAGTCCCAAGCAAATATTTAAAATTCCTTTTAACCTGAGCATTTGTCATTTAAAAAAAAAAGACTTCAATGTTTGGTCCTGTAGGGATTAAAATAATACTGCTTGTGACACAAATAGTGAAGTAATAAGTGAGATAAAATAGGTTAATGTTGCAACTGAAGGCACCACAAAAAAGTTAATTTAAAAAAAATAAAGGAAACCTGATAAATGCAAGGTGAGCTGTTTGGTACTAAAAGAAAAATGAAAAACAAAATTAGAGAAATGTCTGGATAACCATTGGTATCAACAGTTAAAGACAAACATGCTGATAAATTGGGCATATCCTGAGAAGAAGCAAGCAGAGAATCACCTGACAGTCACTGATATAGGAAACTGATAGTACCAGTCACAATCTGGTTATATGCCCGTCTCGCCTTTCCTCTGGGTGTAGCGAGTCAGCCAAACCCTCTGGTTACACTCAGGTGCCTCATTTTCTCCAGGCCATAATAATCTTGTTTCTCTACTGATTCCGTTACTTGTTCCCAAAGGGCTTTGACAACATCTGCCATGCCATGCATCAGTTCACCACCCAGTGGTGCAGATCCAGCCAGTCTGTCTGCCTGTTCATTACCCACCATGCTGGCATGACCAGAAGAAAAAATCCAAAGATCTGTAATGTATAATGGTAAAGTAATATGATGACGTGTCTTATTACTGACATTTGTTCTTATTGAAATCACCTTACTGACAATGATAAAAAAAGGCTGACACATGAATGCTGTTTTAGTTCTTGTCAGATGATATCGAGCTGTTTCAAGGCATTACCTCAGATCTATTCCCTGATGTTAGTCTGCCTGCACCTGATTATGCCTGCCTTGAAGAAGCTCTGATAGAGACGATGAAGGGCAGAAATCTGCAGCCAGTGCCTTGGTTTTTAACAAAAATAATTCAGGTACCATGTTTTATTTTTTTACGCTGTTGTGTGATAAAATCTAGATGAAAGCTAATGGCGTCGTTTTAATTCTTTTATTACCAAGAAAATGTTACTTTACTAAGAAGTTGTTACTTAAAGTATGAATGTATGTCTGTGGTGTCTTTAGTATTAACTTTTCAATGCTAAATTGTTTATAGATGACATACATTTTGTGTGTAATCCTACAAATGCCAAACTGTACAAAAACAAACACATTGAAAAAGTGTCACTGATGTTTTGGTCATAAATTTGAAGAAAAAAAAAGGAGTGTAGTGAGCCCTTAACCCCCTCCAGAATCGTACAACAAGCGACCAACACCTGCTGGCACAAAAGTGCTACCATTCAGATAAGGATCACCCATGCAAAAGTCCCAGAAACCCCCTTTAACTGTTAGGATATCTTAGGGCCCCCCGATAAAGTTGGGATGGGGCCTTGAAATAATGAAAAACTGCGCCTCACACTAGGATGAAATCATATGAATTACTTGAAGTACCATATTTTCCCATGTATATGATGATATAATTGCACAAATCATTTAAGTTTAAAATATGAAATACTCTTATATATGGAATGTGTTTAAAATATGTATTTATTATTTAGGTCTAAAATTGGTCTTATACATGGGGATGTCTTGTACAGCAAAAAATACTGTAATCAGTGTAAGTATCTGAATAGTTGAAATAGTAATAGTATGGGATAGAAGGCACAGACTTATCCTGCTGTACCTATTTGTATGCTTTCTTCTCTTTCCGTTACCCTGTCTTCTCTTCTCCCCTTCTGACTCTCTCCGTTGCCACCTGAAGATGGTGTAAAACACACAGTATGAACTCCATAGTTTTGGCAATGATTCTTCTCATTATTAAGTACAAAATCCATAGAAAATATTCCTTCATTGCAGGAAGTAAAAAAGTCATCTTAGTATTGTCTGCTTGCTAGGGAAGAGGCAGGAGAAGGAGTCTTACTGTAGAAGCCGCCCCACCCGCTATGAAGACATTCCTTGTTTCCCACTGCATAACCCACAGTCATTCAGCCAGTGGGCACGTAGGTCCACCGTAAACTTAAGGTTTTTTATTGAGGTTGTCTCCTCTAGATCCCTTGTGTTTTGTGCCTCTTCGGTAATGCACACTGGTCTTGACTGTAGAAGGGTTATCTTGATCAAGGGACATGACCTAAGTGTGTCCCTTTCACCCTATTGGTACAAGTACTCATGGGGTTAGACCAAGCTGAGGGAGAACAGCTTGTGTGCTTCACTGTTAGAGATCAAACATCTACAGCCCTGGATCTCTCTGACCATTGTGTATTCCAAATCAAAAGAATCATGAGTGGCCATATTCACATTTAGTTTGTCCATGCTGCTACTAAAGGTGCAGAGACCGGTGAGGTATATGGGTCACAAAAACATTGAATAATTAATAATTACACAGTATCTAACAAACACATAAACTTTCCTGCAAAAGCCAGCAGGAAACATGTTGCCATCATGTGTTTTAACTGATAAATGGTTTGTTTTAAGAGATGAAAACCAATACAATATGTGATCTTCTGGCCTTGAAATAATCAGGGTATCTAGGGCGGCTATACTGGAAGTAGAAGTTATAAGAAAAAGAAGATGGTAATATATTGGACAGATTATGAGGAGCAGTGGACAGAGAATCACTAAACAGGCACTGAAATGGGAAACCTTAACAGGAAAGCTTTTGAGAGACTAAAGGAACTGGACTGGATTCCATCCAAGATGTCAAAGGGATTGCACAGGATAGAAACAACTGGAAGACTAGACTGCAAGCTCTGTATAACATATAATGGCACAACAGGCTAATATTGAAATGAAACCTGTAGAAGTTATCTGCACCATTTGGATTCAGAAGTTTTATTCTTTTCTCCACTTCTTCTTGTACCGCTGCAGGTGTCAGGTGTATATGATTCTACTTTTTACTCTTCTGGCCACACTGATCATAGACTACATATTGCTTTTGTAGCAATTCTATCATATATTATCTTCCCATCTTGTTCTTGGTCTGCCTCTTGCTCCACATCCCTCTTCTCTTTTGGTGTATACATTATATGGTATTGCATCACAAATCATTTTCTACAAGTTTGCAGACCATTGTATTTGCTGTCTTTATATGTAATTTTGAATTGGTTCTTTGCTAACTTTTTCTCTTGTGATATCGTTCCTGATTATATCTTTTTTTTTGGGTCACTCGTGCAGCCTTTCATTAAGAAGACTTATCCTGACAACTTTGAAAACAAAACAACACACTTCAATGAGCTTATTGAAACATAGATTTTGTTTCAGGTCTATGAGATGATTTTGGTGCGACATGGTCTGATGATTGTTGGAGATCCTCTGGGTGGCAAAACTTCATCTTTCAAAACCTTGGCTGCAGCTCTTTGTCTGCTTCATTCAAGAGGACTAATGGAAGAAAATATGGTGAGTTTTTCTTTAGCCCAGTCAATCTAATACTACTGTGTTTCTTTGAAAGAAAAACCTAACCTGAAAATAAGCCCTAGTATGATTTTTTGAGATGCTTGTAATATTACTAGAGTATAAACCTTGGTTAAGAACATCAGCCATAGTGACAGATTTTATTCACTCATTTAAACATGTGATTGAAATATTTAATAATAAAGTGTTAGATGTATGAATAAATAATATTATTGACCTTAAGGCTTGAAATACATTATTTCCTCTTTGTGTTTGCTGGCTGTAAACTCTGGACAAAATTATGGTTATTTGTCCTCTTCTGGACTTTAGTATAGTTCCAGAACTTGAGCTTTGCATGCGCATCGATTTTTTTCAGATCTGGCTAATTTGTAAGCAGACTGTTGGTTCCTTGACTCCCAGAAGCAATCTGACTTTGAAGGAAACACCTTTAATTAGTAGACTTTCATGATATGCTTTTTTTGGGGGGGGGAGGGGGGGGGGGTGGGGGGGATGGATCTATTCCCAAACTGGTGTCCTGGTCTCCACACATAAAAAATTATTAAATAAATTTTAAGTAACTATTGTATTTTTGAGCAAAAACTAATTTAAGACTAAGTCTTTTTTTTAAATCTTTTTTTTTTTCCAAAGAAACATGGATAATATTTATTTTGTTTAATAAAATACTGTTCCAATGAAGGATAAAGGGAAGAATAATAATTCTGAACCGGAATTAGAATAATGGAGAAGTCAAGTATAGTGAAAAAAGTCCATGGATTGAAAAACGTTGTGATCAAATAAACTCAGTGGGAGACAGTGAAAGAACACTTATAGCTAGCAGTTCTGTATTTCATAAATGTTTCAGTCCCAAGAGATTTAGCTGATGTTCAAGAAATAACCAAGGCCCCCCCCCCCCCCCAAAAAAAAAAAAATCACACTCCCATTTCATATCACAAAAATCATCACACATTTTCATTCCATTACACATCATGATCCCATCACAAGTTTTCATTTCATTACACATCATGATCCCATCACAAGTTTTCATTTCATTACACATCATATCCCATCACAAGTTTTTATTTCATTACACATCATAATCCCATCACAAGTTTTCATTTCATTACACATCATATCCCATCACAAGTTTTCATTTCATTACACATCATATCCCATCACAAGTTTTCATTTCATTACACATCATTTCACAGTTTTCCATTTCATTACACATCATGATCCCATCACAAGTTTTCATTTCATTACACATATCATCACATTTTCATTTCATTACACACATATCATGATTTCCCATCATCACAGTTTTCATTTCATTACACCATATCCCATCACAGTTTTCATTTCATTACACATCATATCCTATCACCATCACACAGTTTTCATTTTTACACATCATCCCATCACAAGTTTTCATTTCATTACACATCATATCCCATCACAAGTTTTCATTTCATTACACATCATATCCCATCACAAGATCACATCATATCCCATCACAAGTTTTTATTTCCATCATATCCCATCACATTTTCATTTCATTACACATTATCCCATCACAGTTTTCATTTCATTACCATCATCCCATCACAAGTTTTTTTCATTACACATCATATCCCATCACAAGTTTTCATTTCATGATCATTTCATTACCATCATCCCATCACAAGTTTTCATTACACATAATTTCAATTTCATTCATTACACATCATGATCCCATCACAAGTTTTCATTTCATTACACATCATATCCTATCACAAGTTTTCATTTCATTACACATCATATCCCATCACAAGTTTTCATTTCATTACACATCATATCCCATCACAAGTTTTCATTTCATTACACATCATATCCCATCACAAGTTTTCATTTCATTACACATCATATCCCATCACAAGTTTTCATTTCATTACACATAATGATCCCATCACAAGTTTTCATTTCATTACACATAATGATCCCATCACAAGTTTTCATTTCATTACACATCATAATTCTGATGTTTCCTGTAGCAGTTTATCTGTCTTGCCTTTCCTCGGCAAAAACCTATTGATCTTGTCAGTTGTAAACACCCTGTTGATATAACAGCAACACTTAAAAATACTGTCAGTTTAGAGAAAGGACATAAAATGTGTAAGAACAATATTTCTAATAAATAACATTCCTTGTCTTTCATTTATACATATTTAGGTTGTCTATAGAATCATCAACCCAAAGGCCATTACTATGGGTCAGCTGTATGGAAGGTTTGATCCTGTTTCTCATGAGTGGGCTGATGGTAAGTTTTGCAATATACTTAGTTTAATGAAATGTTGAATGCCATGATTACTGATTGAAGAATTGGCATCATAACACATGGGACATACCTATAGATGCTCTGTCTCTTACAGCACATACCTGAATGTGTAGATGCTTACTGTTTCAGTTAACACACTGGTTGTGCACACATCATAACTTCATCTCATACATCCTTTCTTTCTTTCTTACCTCTCATACATCTTTTCTTTCTTGATGTACATTTAACTCCAAATTCATG